TAGAGTCAGGCATTATTCCATAAGATTGGATGGCCTGACTGCTGTGTTTATTCTGATTTTCTGAAAAGGTCAAACTTTGTTTCTAAGATGAATGACTTGGTCGTTGTGTTTATTTAATTTCGCCGGGCTTTGTTTCTAAGATGAACGGTCTGGCTACTTATTTTGTGGGGTTTTGGCTGTGCAAACTTGAGGACCAGACTTGGTTTCTACTAAGATGAATGGTCTGGTCGCTGTTTATTTTTGGGTGGTTTCTGAACAACCTTTGGGATTAACTCAAAGTGCTCTGTTTTTTTTGTGATGAAAGAGGGGGTTGAGCTTTGTTTCTAAGATGAATGGCTCAACTCCTTTGTTTATTTATTCCGGGGGAGCAATCTTCGCTGAGGACAAAGCATGTTCCATAAGATTGGATGGCTTTGGACTCATGCCGTATACAGCTGGATCAGAGAGAAATGACAGAGGACCAGATATGTTCCATAAGATTGGATGGTCTGGCCCGATGCCTCGCACATGCTGGAACCCAAAATGTTATAATTTGGCTATACTTCGTTACTAATTTATCTATGAACAGGCTAGTCAGGCAAGGGTTCCATAAAATTGGATGGCGTGACTATAGCTTATCATAAGTTGAAGAGAGTATAACTAAGAGTATAACTAAGAGTATAACTGGAGGTAACTATGGGCAGGTTGAGCTTTGTTTCTAAGATGAATGACTCAGTCCTATGCCCAACTTTGAACACTAAGTTTAGAGAGGTATATATAATTTTGGATATTAAAAAGTTCAGGGCGACGAAGCTTTGTTTCTAAGATGAATGGCTTAGTCGTATGCCCAAAGGAAGCGAGAAAAAGTTGTGCAACATGTTAGTGTATACTCAATGGCTGAGTCAGACATGTTCCATAAGATTGGATGGCCTAACTTTACGCCTTATGTAAGCTGGGTATAAAGGGATAAAGCATTGAGAGACCATGAACTATTGCTTGTTCAAGTATACCTTGGGATGGCGAAAATACTTACCGTCGTGGTTTGGCCTTGCATGTGGCTGAGTGAGATAACTACTTGGTCTGAGTTTCAGTTTGACAGGTAGTTGCTTTAAAGGCTTGCCACATGCTAGAGCGATAGGAGTTAGTCTCAATTCCTGCATTTTTTTAGCTAAGTTTATTTTACTTAGATCTATTCTCGCATTTTCTGAGATCTTTTGTTATACTTGGGCTTGTATAAATTTTGGTAAGCTACTTTCTCTACGGGAAGCGCTGCCGAAATTTCTGCAAATTCGAGAAGTTAGTCAAATCTCTGACTTTTCAAAGTTCAACCTGTCTAAGGTCCATATATGAAATTTGGGGAGTTTCCTTTCCTAAGGGGAGTGCTGCCCAATTTTTTGTTAATTCAGGGAGTTAGACGAAATTGGACTTTGGGAAGTCAAAGACTATTTCCGTTTTCATATTCGGGCTGATATGAATTCTGAAAAGGCACTTGTCCTACGGGAAACGCTGCCGAAATTTTCTTAGTTTAAAGGAGATAGTTTATATTTTGACAGGTGGCGATTCTGGCGATCCACTCTGTATGGGGGATATTATGTCGGGGTCTACCTTTGCTTTGGGCACTGCTTAAAGGTAGATTCAGGCTTAGTCAATTAGAAGGATCTTGGGTGAGAATGTGTTATGGAATTGTATCCTCCATACACTTATGATTCTAGCTTGGAGATTGGCCTGTCCTGTGTTACAGGTCTTCTTGATCGATTGATTCAGGACCTGGACTAGTTTCAGTCTGATCCACAAGGATCGTCTTTTGTTATCACTGATAACAGGTCGGTTGCTGACTCGTCGGTTTACGACTCAATTTCAACTCACTCCCTGAACTCAACCTAAAAAGGCTTTAGCCTTGGTGATCTTTGTTGTTTTGTTAAGGTTTCACCCAGACTTTTATTGAATGGCCATTTATCAAAAGTGTTGAGTATTTAATTATGGTTGGTTGGACTGGAGACTGGGGCTTGCATGACTAAAGCGAGGGGTATGAGTGCAAAGAATAGTTGGGGTTGACTCCGTATAGTGTGTGGACTGTTGTTTGACTCTTTGATATGATTGCAGGTATGTGCTGTGGCTTAGATTCTGGATTTGATTGCCTGCGACCACATATATACATATGGTTGTGAGGAATCCCCACTGAGACTGTAAGAAGTGATCGTCACATACTTATCCCCCTTTATACATGTATACGAGTGTGCACCCATGATGAGTGTTCGCGTGGCCTAAGGGGCCCCGTACTAAAGGCGTACTCAGAGGATAAGACCGGGTGACGCAAGGAAGGCTCTTCCTTTCATTTGGTTGCTTCTTGGGGGGGATTTCTTGGTCAGACGTTGGTCCTGGGCCGGAGTTCAAGGTCCTTGTCCAGGACATCCCAAACCCTAGACTCTACAGGGAAGGGACCTCCCCTCGCGTAGAGCCTATTTACTCTGCCCGTCGAGACACCCAACCCTGAGGGCGGAAGTGTCGCGAGGGCCGAACGGCATGTCCTTCAGCCGTTCAATATCGTGAGGGGTAACCCCTCACGATATATTCCTTCAGCCATTCAATATCACGGGGCCGGAGCCGCGATTACCACGCATGACCAGCATCATTGGTTGGTATAGGATTGGCCTGCAACCGCGCGGCTTTATATTGAAGCCCTGCGCGCGACGTTTCGCCGCCCAGGCTTCCAAAGGTTATGGGATCAACGGGCTCGCATGTATGCACGAACGCTCGGGATTATTATAGGCCGTTGGCGCTGACCGAAAAGGGGTACCCCAGGGTCATGATCCCCTTGGGATAGGGGAGCCTTCGGCCTACGCTTGCTTTTTGGGATTTTTATAGTTGGACGTTGTAGTCCGCGGCAGCCGTCAAAGTCAAACCCCTTGACTTCCGACCAGGCCTGGAGTAGGACTCATCCCCAGGGCCGCAAGAAACGACTGCCACCACAGGTAGGAACCTGTGTACTACCCTCTCTGCACGGAGTGCAGAAGAGGGTGTGTGGTCTTCAACCGCGCATGGCGGATGTCCAGCGTCGAGAGATTAACCTTCAAGGCGCGTGTCAGCCGACACTTGAGTGTCGAATGCAACCCTCGAGATTAACGAGGACTGCATGGGTATGGGTACTACGTAGTACGCCATCACTGCGACCGCTTGCGTATGCTTGCATTGCGAGTCGATATGAGTAGGCCCTGTGTCCGCATCGGAGAGTTATGGGATGGCTACGGAAGGGACTAGGAGCGTTGTCGCGTTGTTTGTGTTGTGTCGTTTCGTATGTGTGTGTGTGTGTGTTTTATTTTTTTTGTGATTCGTAAAGTGGAGTGCGCGTGGTGTGTGAGATGCGTCCTAGTCGACCGACGACGAGTCGTGCTTGGGACCTCAGCCCCCCAAGATGTCGGTTCTCGTGCGGGTCCGATGGAGGCGTACTACCGCGCATACCCCCTATGCTATAGTGAACGAGAAACGCCCTCGGCTGGTCCAGCTCTGCGATTGCAACTGATTAGCTTTCGTACTGTGGACTGGTAGCTCGGCGGGGATATGGCCACCGAAGGGAGGTGACATCTCCCGTAAGGTGGAGGTAAGTCGTGCCTCGCGTAGGCCCTATCCTGTCGTAGGGGCTCGTGGGAGGTATGGCTGGCGCACTTGACCGGAGTGGCTTGCGGAAGCTCCATGTATATTTGCGACAAAGGATTTAAACCAACTCCTGCGTGACGCGGCCGGGAGGGTACCGCGCTGCCTTGTGTGGTGCCGGACTGATGCGCTCGACAGCGTTCCCGGGCGTTGTCGGATTCTACAAGCTACAAATCCCCCTCGGCCACGGTCTTTACAGGCAAGACCGCAGACCGTTGCCGGGGCCGTGTACAACATAACTGTAGGCGGCCTCAAAAATATTCCTGCAGTCCCGGAAGTAACCATCTTAGGGTTTCGTTGCGGGTGATACGAAAGGAAAACCGACCTATCCAAAACCGAAAAGATTTTTCAGTAGCCAACACCCTTGCGTACCACGATGGAGGTAAGAGTGTTCGCGGGGGTTGTCAGATTCTAGAGGTTACGAATCCCTCACGGCCGCGGTCACCGCGGGCAAGACCCCAGACCGCGGTCGGGTCCGCAGCCCCGCAGTCAAACTCGGTCCGCTGCGGGCGAGGGGAGAGGGGTGCGGGGAGGCGGGGACCGGATCCCGACGGCGGGGGGGGGTTCTACTGACCCGCAGTGAAAAACAATAGAAAAAAAAAATGGGGGGGTGGTTTTAGGGCGGTCTGGAGGGCGGTAAAAAAAAAAAAGGACCCCCCTTTACCGAGTTTCGCCTGCGCTAGGGTGTTGGTGGTGGGGTGTACTTCCATTGCAAACAAATAATTTTTTTTTTTTTTTCCTGCACTTGGTTTGGGGAGTCTTGTCCAAAAGTGGGGTCTGGGAGGCAGTATGGGGGAAGGGAGGGTGGGTGCCACTATGTGGTGTGTGGGGAGGGTGGTGGGGGGCCCTTGGGGGTGGTGTGGGGGGTGCTAGGGGGTATCTATGGGTGCGTGGGTCCATTCTGGGGTGGGTCAATAGGTGTTTAAAAGAGTTTTGGCCAAAGACGACGTGACAAAAACACCACATAAACAAGTGTTAGTGCAATGGAACGCGCAAAGCATGAACATCATCAGACCATGCATCGAATGTACTCCACAAGAGGTTTCATGGCTCAATTAACAACAACACCACAGAAACACACAGTGTCACACACCAATATCAACTATCATACATGAGCATGTTCGGGTAAATCGCACAAAAGGGTTTCATGAGCACATAGAAAGGCAGATGAGTCGATGAAGACAAAACAACCAAGTGGCAAAGTACTCTCGGTGTGTGTCGATATACAAAAAATACAAAGCATCATAAGTACAGATAACATCAAATCCGCGCCTCGGAATGCATCCACCAAATAAATCACCAGTAAACAAGGACCCGCTGATAGTATGAGACCAGGAAAAAATACAGCATACCTACGCCACCTGCACCGTATAGGTTTATGGCATATGAGATACAGATGTAAAAAAAAAAAAAAAAAAACAGACCCTAAGGACTGAAGTACCAATCTAAGACAGAACAACGAAACAAATACACCTGCTGACAGTACGACACTAGGAAGAAATACAATATACCTACTCCACCTGCACCGGATAGGTTCGTGACATATCAACTACAAATCCAAAAAAAAAAAAAAACAGGCCCTTTATACTTAAGTACCAACCTAAGATAAAATAACAGAACAAGTAGAAATAATGGAGCAAACGTAATGTACCAGTCTCTAACTCCTCCCACTGCACCTCGCACGAGTTAGATGACGTGCTACGCCTGATGTGCTCTCGGGAAGTCCACTCCGTCCCTGCCCACTTGCCACTCTCTCTGCCTGTCGAGGTTCAGCATGCGCATCCCCTTTCGCCACTGTCGCGACTGCAGCAGTTGCTGCCCTCCTGTCCCTGTCCCTCCGCGCTACAATGTCGATAGGCGTCCTCTTTGTGTCGGCCTCGTCCCCGTGTACGTCCGTCCCGGCCAGCCTGTCACGCTCTCGAACAAAGTGCTCCAGACGTTGTCGCTCGACAACAATCTGAGCCTCTAGGCCACTGATGGATCCGTGACGTCTCGCCCTTGCGGACCTGTGCAAATCACCCTCCTCGCCCGACGTGTAACTTAGGCAATCCTCGATGTCTACCATCTACAGCACCTGGGGCCGGGAATACCACCTGCCTCCTTGTTTGTCTCACCGACAATCCTGGGTTACATGCTGCTGTGTGCACACTGGGTCGCCGTACGTCTGCAACGCCCGCGTCACCAACATCTGCCTCCGCCATCGAACCTCGTACAAATGCCCCTGTCCCCTCTCGTAATCCCTCTTCAAACGGTCCATAACTTGTCTGCAAGACCACCACCCACCGCCTGATGCCCCTCGACTGGCCAATGACACTGCAGTCAGCGTTCTGTTGCCAGTACCCATGTGCAATGGTGATGCATGCACCGATGGTGGTCATGGTGGGTGTATGTCTCTTGCTGACCCCCCCCCCCGGCAATAGTTGCCGCCTCATCCCCTCTAACATCACTGCGTGATGACCACGACCACCGAGGGCTCTCAGGCACCCATCTGGGAGGCAACGCAAATCCATCTGGCAGGCGGCGGGGATCGCTCCTCCGACCTGTGTGAACGTATGGGTCCTCTATCCCCGTGCGCTCCAAGTCCTCCAGATCGAGAGCCGGTGGGCTGGACTCCTCCAGCCTCTCGTCCAAAGCTCACCCATATAGCCCTCATCGCCGTAAAAAACTGGTTGGGGCCTCACAACAACGTGAGGGGCATGTCTCCCGCTATATCCCGCAGTGGGGACGACCGTGCCTCCTTGTCGGCGTCAACGCCAACCTCCATGACAGGACTATGTCCTGCATCAGTGTCACTGCCCCGACAATAAGTGCTCAACCCTACCTCCTCCGCCATAACAGCATCCCCCATCAACGAAGTGTCACGGCCTCCCGACATCCCACCCTCCATGTCTGCCATGCGAACGCCAATGATCACTCTCTCAACAATATTCTCCTCTGCGGCCTCTCCTCGGTCACCGCCGTCTGAGCTATCACTATCTGTGCCTCGATCGTTGTCATCTCCATGCGGCCAAACACCGGTGCCACCAATGCTCTCAGGTCCGCACTGCCCCACCAGGCCACTGTGAATACGCACACCAAGGGCTGGTCTACCACCAGCCCATGCTCCACTGGTCTCCAAGTCCCTCAACCTACGCTGCTCGGCCTCGTACGCCTCTCTCCCCGCCCACCTCGGCATAGACTGCAACCGTGCCTCCTCCTCACGATCAAGGCGGGCGTCCCTCTCCTCGACCGTCTCCTCTCGCTGTCTAACATCTGTCCGGTGGGCGGACTCACCCCCACCTCCGTATCCAAGACAGACGATCCACCATGAGAGCCACCGATGTTGAAATCGCTGGTCCACAACGAAGAAGGCGTGTCGTGGGTGTCCTGACGATCACGGTCGTGTGATGGAGTGATCGGAGTATGTTCCCTGAGTGGGATGTCCTCTAGGTGTTGCGACTCCGCACCGCTCTGTCCTGCCAACCTTGTCGATTGACGTAGGAGCTGTAAATGGTCGAGCGAGTGGTGGCTAGGATCAAACCGAGTGTCCCTCAAACGCTCCTCCGTCTCGGGCTCGTCCCCGCTGGAGTCGACCTCTATAACCTTCCTCGCGTGTAAGGAAAGGTTTGTGCTTGTGCTACTCGATGGCTGAGTCGAGCGACCTGTAGGGTCTGCTCGTCTCCAACTCCCTGTGTCGGGCCTAAGCCGTCGTCAGTGATGACTGATGTCCGGGCCGCAAGCCCGTCAGATCCTCTGCCATACGTGAAATAAACCTGCTCTGCGGACCTGTCCCCTCCCAGCGCAAGGTCCTCCGGGTCCGTCCAGTCCTCCTCCCTAGCCTGCGCACCCTCAACGCCAGCGTCTTGTGCAGGAGGAGGCACATGATCGTAAGGAAGTAATATGGACGCCCTCTCCCCAAAAACGACAGACGCCTCTCGCAGAGAGGTTGTGTTGTCGCTTGCGAACACGACAATCTGCCTCCTCAACTCCTCATCGCTGACGGTCCCAGCTAGTCTCGCCACCCACGCCGCTGACTCTGGATCGCCGTCCTCCCCGTCCTCCTCCCTAGCCCCACAACGTCTATGGTCGTCGTGGTCGTCCATGATCCACGGCAGAACATACCCACCACCATGCTGCCTGCACGAAGCCAGTTTGAGATTAGTCATAATCTCAACCAGTTGCGCCACCTTGACAAAGCCAAGCTTGTTTCGCTTCGCCGTGTGAATGCGCTCATGCTCAGCCCAGTTCCTCTCCGCAGGAGAGGCGAACGTTCACATGTGCATCACACGGATAGCGATGGCACGCAACTCTGGGTGGGCTTCCCCGTGGGCGAACCACCACGCCGCACAATGCGCCGTCTCGTCGTGCCCCACGCAATCTCGGGCCTCTGCATCAGACAACAAGCGATCACCCCCAATCGCCTGTCCGCACTTGGAAACAATGCATCTGCTCGTGCATGACGAGGTAATCTCTGCCTACCAGATCCCCCCTCGTCTGCGCGAGCAAAAACCGATCGCTCTCCTGAACAACCTCCACGTCCTCCGGTGTCGTGTGGAGGGACTCATAGTACCTCGTAGACCATCAGCGGGGTTTGAGAAGATGGGCTGCAGC